AGCTCCAGCTTGAAAAATTTTGGAAATTGGAAGAAATTTCGGAGATAAAGCATTACACAGAAGAGGAAATTGAATGTGAAAATCATTTCAAGCGGAATTTTTCTCGTGATTCAACAGGTAGATTTGTTGTTAAGTTTCCATTTCGTAGATCAGGAAATGAACTTGGGTCATCAAGGGATGTTGCTGTACATCGTTTACAAAGCATTGAACGTCAATTTATTGAGAATAAATCTCTTTCCAGTCAATATCACAAATTTATGGAGGACTATCAACAACTTGGTCATATGGAATTGATTCCAGAAAATGAAATTGATGTTCCAACTAATTCTAGTTTTTGCATGCTCTTATTCCGCACCATTCAGTTCCGGATAAAAATGGTGATAAATTTCGAGTCTTATTTGATGGTTCTGCAAAATCTTCTAGCGGTATTTCTCTTAATGAGAAATTGATGGTTGGTCCACAGTTGCAGACTGATCTGACAACATTAATTATTCGTTTCAGAATTCACAGAATAGCTATAACTGCAGATATAGAGAAAATGTACAGACAAATTATACTAAAAGATGCAGACTTTCAGAGAATAGTCTGGCGCGATTCACTTTATAAACCAATTCAGGATTTTCGATTAACTAGGATTGCTTACGGTACTGCATCAGCTTCGTACCTTGCGGTAAGATGTTTACAGCAGTTAGCCATAGATGAAGCAACTAATTTTCCTTTGGCTTCCAAGACATGTCTTAGGGACTTCTACGTTGATGATTTGATGTCCGGAGCCAATTCAGTTACTGAAGCTATAGAATTACAAATGCAATTGAATCAGATGTTGTCACGTGCAGGATTTATTCTAAGAAAATGGGCTTCTAACAGCAAAGAAGTCTTGAATTCAATTAATCCAGATTTGTGCTTATCAAATGTTTCTTTGAACATAGACAATGATGATACTGTAAAAACGTTAGGTATCCTGTGGCATCCAGCTTCAGATATGTTTTTATTCAAAGTCAATTCATCATATCCTGAAGTCTTAACCAAACGAACATTACTTTCAATAATCGCAAAGACCTTTGACCCTCTTGGATGGTTGGCACCGATCACGGTTCGGTATAAATTGATTATGCAAAGATTGTGGAAACATCAGTTTCAGTGGGATGAAAAGGTTCCTCCAGATATTGAATGTGAGTGGAAACAACTTACAGAAGATTTGTTATTTATTAAAAGTATCAAAATTTCACGATTCTTGTTGGTTGAATCAGATAACCAGTTTCAACTGCACGGGTTTTGTGACGCCTCAGAGAAGGCCTACGCCGCTGCAATTTATTATCGTTCTGTGTTAGATACTGGACAAATTAATGTTCAGTTAGTGATAGCCAAAACAAGAGTTGCACCACTAAAAACCATATCACTTCCCCGATTGGAACTTTGTGGAGCATTACTGTTGACTAAATTAATGGATTTCACCTGTAGGGCTTTAAATACTCCTATATCGCAAGTTTATTTTTCATACTGATTCCACTATTGTATTAGCCTGGATAAGATCTCATGCAAGCCGATGGAAGACCTTCGTCGCCAACAGAGTAGCAAAAATCCAGACTTTATCCTCTCCTGTCCAGTGGCATCATGTGAGTGGAAATGCTAATCCTGCTGATCTTGCAACCCGTGGTGTGTCATCATCTGCACTGGTTACTTCATTGTGGTTACGTGGTCCAGATTTATTGTATAATTTATTTCCTTTTCAGCAAGCATTATCTGCACCACTACTGAATGATTCTGTGCCAGAGCAAAGATGTGCTTTACAGTCTACAACTGCTGCCAGTCACTTGACAGACGCTCATGATTTATTTTATAAATATTCCTCTCTCACTAAACTTAAACGTGTTGTAGCATTATGTCTGAGGTTTGTAAATAACTGTAAAAATTCAGAAGATCAGGTAAGTGGATTTCTAAAAACAAGTGAATTAACTAAAGCTATGCATGTGTTAATTAAATTAATGCAATATGTTGAATTTAAGAATGAAATTAACACTTTAGGCAGAAATCAATCATTATCTGGTACAAGCAAAATTTTATCTTTGAATCCATTTTTAGATAATTTAGGTATTCTCAGGGTGGGCGGTCGCTTGCGACATGCAAACCTTGCATATGGTTTTAGGCATCCAATTTTGCTTCCAAAGAAGCACATTTTAACTCATCTCATTGTTAGACATTACCATGAAAGACTTTTGCATGCAGGTCCACAACTTATGCAATCTTGCATTCAAGAACAATATTGGATCATAAATGGTAGAGCTGTTATCAGAGATTTAGTTAGGAAATGTATAAAGTGTTGCAAAATTAGAGCATCTGTCACTAATCAATTGATGAGCGATTTGCCGTCTAGTCGCGTTTCGCCTGCTCCTGCGTTTTTGCGCTGTGGAGTGGATTACGCAGGTCCTTTTCAAATTAAAGCAAATAAGGGTCGAGGCTCTAAGGTCATTCAAGGCATATATAGCTCTATTTGTTTGTTTTACGACAAGAGCTATTCACCTAGAATTAGTGACTGATCTTTCAGCAGATGCTTTTATTGCAGCTCTTAAGAGGTTCATTTCCCGCAGAGGCAAAAGCAGTGATATATATAGCGATTGTGGTTCCAATTTTGTTGGAGCAAAACGCAAACTGATGGAATTTGAAAGGCTTGCTAGGTCTGCAACTTATAACCAAAATGTTAGCAGATATTTGGTTGATAATGGCATTAAATGGCATCTAAACGTTCCAGGTGCGCCACATGTGGGTGGACTCTGGGAAGCTGGCATAAAATCAACAAAAATACCATTTAAAACGAGAGTAGTTGGTGAGGCGAGATTGACATATGAAGAATTTGAAACATTTCTCACACAAATAGAAGCTTGTCTTAATTCGCGACCTTTAACAAGTTTGTCTAATGATCCAAATGACTTGTCAGCATTAACGCCTGGTCATTTTCTTATTGGTAGATCATTAACAAGCATTCCTGAACCAAATTACATTGAAGTTTCCCATCTCACTAGATGGCAACATATTCAAAAAATGGTTCAACAATTTTGGAAGCCTTGGCACAAAGAATATCTGTGTCGATTACAACAAAGACCAAAATGGCTTTTGCCAACTAAAAATCTTCAAGTTAATGATCTGTGTCTCATAAAGGAGGATAACTTACCTCCAACTAAATGGAAAATGGGTAGAATTACTCAGTTACATCCTGGTCTTGATAATGTTGTTAGGGTTGTGACTATTAAGACTTCAGATGGCATGGTTAAAAGAAATATTACAAAATTGTGTCCATTACCAATTTGAGTTTTAATTCATGTATTATAAATTAAGTATTATATCATAATTTTAATACTGTATTGTGTTTTAAATTTACTGAATTTTAACCACTAAATGTTGAAATAGTATTTCAAGGTGGGCGGCATGTTCGCGCCTTATGTAAATTTTGATTTTGTTCCCTGCAAGAGGGCGCCTGCGAGCGCCGAACTACTTGTATATCTATTGTACGAACTTGTGCTTCACACGGTCTAATAAACGCAATAACGAACGTTTGTGTCTACTTTCCATCCGCTAACAGTGTCTCCATTTGACAATGGAAGACGCAAAAGATGAGTTTTCATTTCATTAGAAACACATCACAGAAATATGTGATAACGATGAGGTAAAGCTTCCAATCGCTGTCGTTGCTGCCATCGATTGACACCGAAAATGCTGAATTCTGGAGTGCAGCTATCCTTTTACTTTGTGCATCGCAAGCAATTTCGTTCACAATAGAAGATGTTTTCGTGCGAGCACAAGCATATTTCTGAGCAATCTTGGAGTCTGGAAACATCCGTCTGAAAAGTTGACCAGCGTGATCGGCAGTGCTTAGCGGCACGTTGTGTTCGATGAGGAATGCAGTAAACAAACACTCTGCCAAAATGACATTGGCATCCGAATTCGCAGCCGAATTTGAAAAAAAATTCATCCACTTTCTTTGACGTTGTCGAAGCCGAAGCATTAACTTCATGCTTAGACTTAACATGCTTCACAATGTCGTTTCTTTCACCGTGACTTATTATGAAGTCACACATGCACACGTTGAATATGGTAAAATGCATAGTTATTTCCTTTGAAGGATTCTTTAATTGTTGGAAATTCGGCTTTGTAGGCAGGCCGAAAATATTGAGAATATGGTTTTTTTGAACTCATTTCATAACAACAACGTATTAAGAAAATTCGTAGCATGTGCAAACAAACAAACAAAAAAAAAACAGAATGCGACAATCTATGCTTGCTGAGTAATTCCCTTGCTGCTGAAGGGAATGCGAAAAAAATAATCTGGCGCACACAAAGAAAAGAGTGGGAGAAACAAGTTCAGCGCATTGGATTGGCTGGTTAAGCGGCGAGTTGGGAGAAACCGCAGGTTACTGTATTCGAAGTAGTTGGTAGTTGGCAGTAAACACGATGCAATTGGCGAAAAATTCTAAAATTTCGACAAAAATCACTAAAAACACTTGAAAAAGGAAAAAAATCGTAAAAAAATGGATTACGATCGTAAAATTGTAAAGACAAACGCATTTTCGTAAAAATTACGAAAAATTCGTAAAAGTTGGCAGGTATGCATATTATATCTACTCGTAACACAGCTTACTGACTAAGGCAAGAAATGAAACTTGTAGCAATCTTTTTAATAAACATGAATAACAAATGTATGATTGAGACTATAACAACAGCAGATCAATTTCTAATACCATTTAAATCAAGTTACGCATAACATTGATTAATATAGTGAATTTGGAGTGGTTTATATCTTTTCAAATTTGGAGGGGGAAAAAAATACACATAGCATTATCTTAGAAATTTCTATCAGTGTACTTCAAATTTCACTTTTATTTTTAATGCTTTCCATTAGAAAATCTAAATTATTTGTCATAGATGTTGAATATCATTATTTGAATACCCAGCAGATCACATTAAATTTTCATATAATGTAATTTTCTTACTCCCCAAAAAGTTACCTGATCTAAATAATCTTTAATATCAGCTATCTGTGAATGAAGCCCTTTCAAACCTCGTAACTGATTTGTTATCCTTTGAGATAGAGTTCCCAAAGTAGTGTCTTTAATATCCCTATTAAAGAAAAAAAAAAAAAAATAACATTACTAACTCTATAAACAAATTTTGAATTATTCTGAGCAAAATAAACAATCACCATATTCAATATCACAGATGGTAAAAAAAAAAAAAAAAAAATATGTTATTACATCAAATAACATAAAAAAATCTATACAAAGAGCAGATCATTTGTTCCACATTAAAATAGTTTTCCATATATCCCAATTTTTACTTATTAAAAAAAATCCTGAAATATATAATCTACAGAAAAAGAAGCAAAGATTATATATTGAGACCCAGCAATAACGTTCTTAAATATGTTCATCAATTATTTATGGAGAGAAAACATAACATAGGTACATAAATATATTCACCACATATTGAAACAGTTATATATATGAAAGTGCCTAGTCTTCACAATCTTAATAATTTTATAATCTGATTTCAAGCACTTTCATTTTACAAATAACCATTAAAAAAAGTAGGACGACACAACAACAACTAACAAACAAAAAAGAAGTATTAGTAGAAGACAAATTCAGTATAAGAAATAAGGAATGCATTCTATTAAATGAATTAAGATCTATAATTGCAAACTGTGATATTATGTTACCTAAGTAAATGTTCAACACCAACTTCTTCTGCTTCTTCAGCTCCAATCTCACTGGCAACATGCTCAAATGTTTTGTTTGTAGGTGTGCCATCCTAACAATTACATTAAATAAAAATTCCAAGTTAATAAAAAGTATCTTTCTGCAAGCACTTGGCATAATAGCAAACTATTAGTATAATCCAGAACATCATATAAATAAATCATATCGCACTGGCAGTTAGGGAAAAAAACAAGAATAATGCCACTTTTGCTTAGTTTAAAATCAAATTTAGGAGAAGGAGAATAATAATACAGCATTTAAAACGCTGATAACAAATTCCAAAGAGGATTTCTACACATGAATTCTTACATCATGAACTTCTTCAACAGCAATATAAGCTTCAGTGGGCAAACCAAGATCTTTAGGTTTTGCACCAATTATCACCAAAACCTGAAAAAACAAAATTAGATCCAATAAATTTTTCTAAATATCTACATTTATAATTTAATATGCATACAAAATTGAATGGGTACTCTGATTACCTGCCACAGCCTGACAAGAACCACCAGCCACAGTGCTTTGTCGTGAAAGTAAGCACCCCTGAATTTTACAAAAATATACGGTACCTTTTAGCGAGAATATCCCATTGACCATTCTCGCCAAAAGGTAGCTTCTGCACCAATAACTGCAAATAACTGTGTAATTCTTGACTACGTGAGTTATTTTTCTTTAACATGTTGAAATATATTGAAATTTAGAATGTTTGTTTTGGAAATTGCTTTTTATTATGTGCCAAAGGATTTGCGCAAGCATTTACAAATCAACGGGATAATCCCAAAGTACCAAATATACTTACATGACGTTTCAGGACTGGTGATACTGTATTCAAAGCCATTTTTAGCAATAACAGAATTTTAATAGATTTTTAGTATTTACTTTTTCTTTTCTTTTTTTTTTTTTTTTTTTTTTTAATTTCTACATATATTTTCTCTTTTTTTAAGCTAAAGCAGATCAAGGTGTACATGGAGAGCAGCTCTGCAGTATCAAAAATTCTGAAGGAATTTTATACTATGATAAGCGCATGCTAAAATAGATAACACACAATATTTTTAACAATTCTCTCAAATGACTATTTTAAGAGTTAACTACAGTTACACACATTACAACCCAAGTTTGATTTGATAACACAATTTAAAATTCTTTAACTGTATTGTTGTAGACAAATAAACACATCATAACTAGGTAATATATTCATTTTTAATACACAAGTCCTTAAAGTACCACATTAACATACTAAACTCACAATTAACATACTGTTACATGCATATGGGTTCATAATAGATTGAATGCACACGGGTCCGATGATAGGTTGACAAAATTAATTTTATCAACACTTTATCAGTAAAAGAAAGGATTTATTGAGCAGTCTGGTCAACTGGAACACTGCATCAGCATAAGGGAAACGAAAACCTTTCTCGTTCTCTCTTTCCAACTTAATTCCAATAAAATATTCTTTCTACATCTAAAAACAGCACACTACTAGTTATCAGATTTCTTCTTCTTTCTTTTCTTCTTCGCATTGCTAAACTCTGACTAACTCAAAGCAAAACGAAGGAAGCTCCAATCGAAAAAACAAAGTCCTTTTTTGACAAAATTTAACTGCAGAACTAATTATTAAAAGCTGTCTTTTCATGCAACCACACATACCTTGAACTTAATTGGTCAATCACAACTAGCTATGACATTTTCCAAACCAGTTAAAACTAAATAACAATAGTGTTTGATAAAATTTTGAGGAAATATATTAATCACAAGCCTCTTTCTACATTTTTCATTAATTTTGTTCAAATGGTAATACACATTTTTCTAGTATTTTTAATTAATACTATAACATATAATAATATTATATGCCAATTGATACTATAATTCACTCAGAAAAGAAATGCAGAAACAAATGACCTTAACATGATAAACATATATGTAAATGATAATTTATCATGGCAATTAAATGCTCAAAGTTTATTATGTTAGACAAGGCATGGTTTCATTTACTGGAATACACAAATGCTCAGAACAAGTGGCAATGGGCATCAGAAAATTCACACGTAATATAAGAGCACCATTTGCATGGCCAGCAGATCAGTTAGTGGTGTTTTGTGCTTGCCACATGTGTTGCTGGTCTAATATTTTTTGACACGACAACAAACATGGATGTCTTCCTTACCATTCTAGGTACTTCTTATAATAGCAACAGCAGAAGAAGTCCGTATTTCCTGAAAACGTCCCCAATTTTCAGTCCCTGTCCCGATTTTTACAACTCGTTTTTTGGTCTCGAATTTATAGCATTTGTCCCAAAAAACAGTAGTGGGAGAACACAAAAGTTTTAATCCATATATTTATTTTAATAGTGTAGATTGTGTAAGTCAAAAGACGCACTCCATACTGGAGCATACAACTCTTGTGACGGAACAACTTTCGTCCTAAGGCTATTGCTAATCGAAATTAAGTGTTGTCCCGCCAACTTACTCATCTAAAATGTTGCAACCCCATGGCCCAAGGGCAGACGAGACAGTACCAGTACAGTCCCTGCCGAGCCTACACCGTCCCTAGTAAACTCAGGCACAGCCAGTGAAGACTGTTTTTCTACCCTCGTGGTTGAGACTGTCTATCTAAATATATATCCTAGCCAGTACTTCCCAAGAATTCTCCTGAGTCAACCCCTGAGGGGAAACTGGATCATACAGAGGATTCCATATCTAGCATTTGACTGGAAAAAAATATAGTGAGAGAGTTTTATTTCTCATTCCTGTGTATTTCTCTCCCCAACCCCTAAACATACAAGGAATTTTTTTGCCCATAGCTTGCAGTTCAGACTTTCACTTACAGACAGCACTGCAATTTTTTTTTTTTTTTTTTTTTTTTTTTTTTTTTTTTTTGATAGACAGTGGAACCTTGAGATACAAGTTTAATTCGTTCCAAAATTGAGCTCGTATAGTGAATTTCTTGTATCTAGAAACAAACTTCTTAACCCTTTCAGGATGGGCACCCCATATACGCATTCCCTAAGAACGTCTCTTACAGCCGGGTGTCCCATTCACGCATCACTAGAGATTGCAATCAGAGGACGGGTGATGCGTATACGCATTTTAAGCTGGAACGTTTTTCTGAAGGCCACTAGATGGCATCCTATGTCCATTACTTTTGAAATGAACTCAGTTTTAAATTCCTGACCTTGAGTTTGATATATTCTGCTTGACTTCGGTATTTTACTCATCAGCTCTTGCGAGTGTGGGGGGGAGGGAAAATGTAAACAGAGGTGAGCTCTTTAAATCGCTGCGTGCTAATGAAAACATTCACATGTCTGATTTATATTCAATTCCTTTTTTTATTCTATTTTTTCCTTTACTATGTACGAGCTTTTAGGGTTAGTATTTGGAGTACTGTTACGTTTCGCATTGCCCTTCATATATATTTCCGGTTCTTCTCTTTTTATTTCGGAAAGCCTAACCTCCAGTCTATTGTGGCGAAAAGGCACTATTTATCAGAGGAAGAATACTCTCGTATGGGTCAGTGAACCATTTATTAATGCGGATGAGAGTGATGATTCATTTTCTAAAGAGTTAGAAAGTAATACTTTTTCTAAGAATTAGAATGTGATACTTCTCCGTGCTTCGAGATTTACCACAGTCTTCATTTTACATTTTGTTACTTCTTACTGTAAATAGTCTTTATTGTGTTGTTTTATTAATGTAAAACTTTATTGACGCATTTTATCAATTAAAACTTTGGAATAATTTGAATAGCGCTTCCGAAAATTATTTTACAAGATGCGCAATTTTTTAAGTATATTTTCATGTAAAATAAAGAAAAAATTTTATTAAGTGCTAATTTTAACATATATAAGAGCTCAAGCAATAATCTAACGTGATACAAAAAATTACGATGCTAGAAGCGAAACTTTTTTTTATAAAATTAGGCTTAGCGATGCAAAACCTCCATCCTGTACGGTGACTGCCTTCGATTCCCTTCCGCCCCGCACGAGTGTCTTAAACAAAGGTGCGCCATCGCGAAAAGGTTAAAAATAATGGAAATCCAGTTAATCCGTTCCACACCCCCAAAAATCTCAATATAAAAATCAATTTTTCTAATAACTAACACTGGTAAATAATATAACTGTAGTTTACCTTTATGATACCTTCCGATATTTATGATACCAAACCGCCTTTTAACTGCTTCTCGTTAATCCACACCAACAACAGCTTCTCAACATCATCTAGAAGTTTTGGACGGTGCTTGGAAGTAATGGTAACTCCTTTGGCAGGGGTGTTTGTGGGACCCCAAAAAATCCCCTTAAACTTTTACGGACTTACTACCGACATTTTGGAGTTTCAAGAAGGGGGGGGAGAGAAATGAAAAATTACAATTATGAAGTATTAAATGACCTAATTATAAAAGTTCAATGAATTACTTTTTTTGCAAAATTAATAACCATAAATTTTCAAACATATAAACTACATTTTATGTAAATATTTTAAATTACTTGAATTAATTCTTTAAAAAAAATTTATCTAATTTCTGCTGCTTTTTTTTATTTTCTGATGTTTGTGGGCTTGTCTTTCTTTTGTGGTGAACTTCATAATTGCAGGAAGGTTGACTTTTATTTTCCTCATTTACAGTTGAAGAAATTTCCTTGAGAACTGCACATGCAGAGGTAGAAGCAGTTTGCTTTTCTGCTAATGTAGAAGGTTTTCCAGAGACTTTTATAGGTGACTCATCTGAAATACATGTTTTTAAGTCCTCTTGATATGTTTACCAACTTCTGTTCATATTCAGTAAGAGATCTTTGTGAATTGGATCAGTCATTGGATTTTTTTAGCCATATTTTTCACATGAGGTTTCTTTAGAAGCCATTAAATCATATTTAATAGTCTGCACTGCATCTAGGGAATCAATCTTAAGAGAGGTTCTATAGTCAGTGACAAGTGTATCCATTAAGTTGAATGCACTTTCCACTAATGGGCCATGGAAGCAGCTAAGGCAGGCTTTGACCAATTTAGCCAATGTAGGATACTTATAATCATTTGTGAAATCATCTTTTAAATTAAAAACTTTAGACTAATATTTATCAATTGTACACTTGACTTGATTTCCACTTTCATCAGATGTGTAGAGCATTTCTTTGGTGATATCAATATCACTCTGGTATAACCTTATTTCAGCTTCTACTTTTGACTTTTCATTATCACTAAAAATATGGGACATAAAAGATGATAATTTTTCAAAAGCTAATATTGTACTGGTTTTACCTCTTAGCTCTGGATCTAATGCTGTAAAACTAATTAGATATGAATTTTTAAGGGGTAATTTCTGTTTCATATGCTGTGCTGTATTAGTATAAGCTTTCATCAGAGAAATTTGGAATTCTTTTGCTATTGGATGATTTTTTGATA